GCAACTTAAAAAATGCATTCATGAGGCTGCGAGTGAAGCTTTGGAGTATAAAGACAAACATGAAACAAAAAATCAAGAATGGTGGTCGGAGGATATGCAAACGTTAGTCAACAAGAAGAAAACTGCTTATCAGAAATGGATGTCAACGAGAAAGGAGGAAGATTACAAGATATATAAAATATTAAATCGAGATGTAAAAAGAGAAGTAGTGAAAAGTAAAAATGAGATATGGGACCGAAGATGTGCAGAGGTGGATAGGTATATGGGTGGAACAAGAGTTGGGCAAGCGTGGAACGTGATAAAGTCTTAAGGTGGATTTTCACAGGTCCGATATCCGATGGTACGATGATACGATATAAATTTTAGCGAATTTCAATGGTTGAAAAATGACAGGTATAATTTTCGTACGAAATTAAAACTCATCGGAAGAAGTTAAAAATATTTTAACTTTTGCACGAAAATCGGATGAATTTTGACATTGTTGACATTTCTAACATGAACCTTAACCTTTTTTTTTGTGGAGTGTTTATGTTTACTATTTGAAATATATTTAAAATGAAACAAAGACCTAATTATTATATAAATGCAATGAATAAAGTGTTGCTTTTGGGTCTTCTACACTATGTGAGGAAAAAATGTAATATATATCAAACAAAACAGCTAACATTTATTGACAGTTCATTGAAATAAATATCAATTCATTCAATAATCTGACACATAACACATATATGTTAAAAAATTTCGGATACGACAATCAAATATATCCGTACAAAAAAATTTCGTATTTCGTGTCATCGGATATCGGATCTGTGAAAATCCAGCACCAGCATTACCGGTGAGAAGGAAAGAAAAAATCTAACTTACGGTTAATAGATCTAAAACAGTGGAAACACCATTACGAGGTTTTACTGACAGAGGATAGATGTAAATTCCAAGAGATCGAAATGGAAGAAATATTCGAGCATACACAAATTCGAATGACGCAAATGCTCTAATTATAGGGGAATAACTGTTATCAGCTCAGTGGGGAGGTTGTACGGTCGAATAATAACAGAAAGAATAGAATCAGAATACGAATACACAAAAGAACAAATGGATTTCGTGCAGGAAGATAGTGCACTAATGGCATATTCGTTCTTCAGCAGGTAATCGAAAAACGGAAGGTAAGGACTCTATCTACACACCTATTGTTTGTAGATTTAAATAAGGCATATGATACGGTATCTTTGAAAAAACTGTTTCTATAGTGTATTTTTATGTATGAGAGAGTAATAAAACAATAAATTATGTATGCAAATCCCTAAACTGTTGATACGGGTGACTCAATTAAAAACAGATATTTGTCAACAAGTTTACAGAAGTATATAGGAAAACAATTTTAAATTGAGTATGACCACCAGGTATAAAGGTTGAAGCAGAATAGAATACAATAGTTGTGAGGGTTACTAATCCCTAAATAAGGTTGCCAGTGTCGGAGTGATGAAGGTTAACAGGTACTAATGAATTTGCAAGAAATGTAAGATGTTTATTTTATTGGTTATATATAACCAATAAAAGTTTAATAAGTACCTACCTATTTGCAAAATAAAGTTTAATTCTTTAGATAAAATAAAATGTTTTATTTTATCTGAAATGAGTGCATTCCACGAAGTAAGGGTTTTAACAATCAAACATTTAATTCTTTAATTCCAGGAATCTACGACAGTAATTGACTAGATAATTACCTTCTAAACTTATTCCACAGAAAATGTGATAGTGGGTTTTTCCATTTTGTAGGTAGGTCCAAGTGGCGTATTCAAAATTCTTAACAGTTCACTAAAAGTAGGTACTTCAGTTGCAAGGTGCAGTTTATTGTGTATACTAGTGTTATGGAAAATTTGGAAGTGCCGTGTAAACGCCGAAAAATTGGTCCTTTAACAGTTAATGAAAAAACATTAATATTTAATTGTTTTAAATCATTTACAGACAAACGTTTATGTGAAAGTGTTGATGAGACCGTTGAGTTAATTAGCAGTACACTTGGTGTTGGGAAATCTACGATTTACAGCGTTATTAAAGAAGAGAAATGTGGTAGTTTTCAAATGCCACGTAATGCTCCAGGGAAACCAAAATTTCAAATAGAATATCATTTTAAAGGATTACCCAGAAATGAGTCGAAGTACGTTATGGAAACTTTTAAAAGAAATAGGCTTCCGCTGGAAAAAGAATCCCAGAAAATCTATTTTATTAGAAAGAAGCGATATTGTCATATGGAGAAGACATTTTCTAAGAACCATAAAGGAAATGAGAAACCAAAAAAGAAAAATATTTTATCTTGATGAAACATGGATCAACGAGGGTCATACACCAAATAAATTTTGGCAGGATGAAACCATCAGGAAACTGATTACTGATTACAAGTCAAAGGCACGCTTTTGTAAATAACTTATCTACTGGTTTAAAACCCACCATCAGGAAAGGGACGCAGGCTGATAATAGTACACATTGGCAGTTCAGACGGTTTTGTTGAAGGTGGTTTATTAACTTTTGAATCAACTCGTACCGGTGACTACCATGAAGACATGAACGCTGATGTCTTTCAAGAATGGTTCGAACAAATGATAGATCTTCTTCCTAAGAACTGTGTAATACTAATGGATAATGCAAGTTATCACTCCAGACTTATAGAAGGACTGCCCACAACCAAGTGGTTAAAAAAAGACTTGCAGAATTGGCTGAGTTCAAAAAATATTACGTACCATCCCGGATCTATAAGAAAGGAACTTTATTCGTTGTGTGCCCTTCATAAAGAAAAATTTTAAAAATACGAAATTGATGAAATTGCCAAAAATCGTGGAATGACAGTACTTAGATCCCCACCATATCATTGTGGATTAAACCCGATTGAACTGGTATGGGCACAGATAAAGAGTGAAGTTTCAAGAAAAAATACCACTTTTAAAATTCATGATGTTAAACAGTTGTTTTTGGAGGCCGTAAATAATGTAAAACCTGAAAACTGGGAAAAGGCAGTAAATCACACTATTAAAGAAGAGGAAAAAATGTGGAAGCTGGACAATATTACTGATAAAATGATCGAGCCAGTTATTATAAATCTTGGTTCTGAAAGTTCATCTTCTGAATCTGATTTGGATTTGTAACAAGTAGCTGTAAGTTTTATATTAATATTTTTATTCATCTATTTAACATACCTTAGACGGTTTTAAAAACTCTTTTTCTCTTTTGTAATTTTTAAAAATTAAAAAAAAATGTGAATTTTTTAAAACCCTTTTTAATGTAGGCCAGTCAGTTCTAATATAGTGTGTGATAAAAGAGGTCACTTTTGTTTACATACACATAACACTTTATAACACTGAAATAATTCATTTATTTTTTACAATTATTCAAAGTAATTTTTCAATTAATCTTGAGCACGCCCATGGAGTGGTCGGAGATACCAGTTAAAATTATGCTAATTACTCTCTCGTTCATAAAAATAAACTATAACATTGACGAAAGTAAGTCTCAGTAGAGAGTATATGGATGCTATCGCAAATATATACAAAAATGCAAGAAGTGTCGTTAAAGAAGGAAACTTTATATCTGAATCATTTCCAATAACAAAGGGGCTTAAAGAAAAATGTTGTCTATCTCCGACCTTATTTAAAATATATATTCAATCATCGCTAGAGCAGTGGAAGAAACAAGTATCCGGAATGGGAATAGACATAGGCGGTGGTAAATGCCTAACAACTTTATTTTTCGCAGATGATCAGGTAATAGTAGCGAATGATGAGGAAGGCATGGACTGCATCTTTAGAAAACTAAAGAAAGAATATGAAAAATGTGGCCTCGATATGAATATGTTAAAGATACAGTATCTTAAAATAGGAGATGATGAAGAAGATCGACAATTAGAAGTTAGGAAGGAATTATTAAGATCGACGAATATAAATATCTCGGATCTATAATTTCTAACGAAGCACTACCAAAAGCGACATCGAAAACAGCTTTCTGTTTTCGATGTCGCAGGGAAAAAAATGGTAAACATTCTAAACTCTCTGCTATGGTCTAAAGATATTAAACAAGAAACGAAATTGACAATCTATCGAACCTTGGTAGAGCCTATTATGACTTATGGGGCAGAAGTTTGGCAGATCACGCAAAAAGATAGAAAAATAATAGAAGTAGTAGAAATTGATTTTCTAAGGACAGCGTGTGGTGTATCAAAAAAAGATCATATCAGGAATGAAGATAATGTAGAATAGAAGGAGGACAAATAATGTATATGCAAGTGTAGACATAATTGAAATGAGACAACTAGTGTGGTATGGTCACGTGAAGCGAATAAATGAAGCTAGGCCAAAGAAAGCTTTAAATTACATACCACAACAAAGAAGAAAACGGAGAAGGCCTTCAGTAGCCTGGGAAGAAAATGTATGGCACATAATGAGAGATAGAGCAATTCAAGAAGACGAATGGATGGGCAGAGAATGCAGAGGCTGTAGGAATCTCGCTTATTGAATTATTTTTTTTTATTAGTTTTTAAATTTCTTATTAAACAAAGCCTCGACAAGAAAAGACACTGACACAAGCAAGAAAAGATGCATATACTGAATATTAAAGTAAGAACAGAAGTGAGCCCAAAATATTTATCAGATAGGGCCACAAAATATTCAAGGTAAAAATAAAAGAAAATTTACGTTTGTAATTAAAAATTCAATTTTCATGTTAAATAAACAAAATAATGAAATCGTTACATGTAGCTAATTATCTGTAAATAGTTCCTAAAATGTAAACAATTAGGCATTTGTAAATTAGTAATTTATTATTATAATTATAATTTTAATATTTACGTGAAAAGTAATAAGCATTTAATACCTAGGTAATTTTAATTCGTCAATAACTTTTATAAATAAACCGATCCCCTAAATCAATAACAGCCACAAACCATACAATTGGGCTACTTTACAAAACGAAAATAGGCACTATATTAAATTAATTACAGAGGAAAAACTCACCCTCCTGTATCTCTGCTTTTGCGCGGCTAATCTAATCACAGTTTTATCACCCATCTCGCCAGGTCATTAACAAACTAATGAACGATTCAGAGTTCCAACCCGAAATACAAATGAAACCGTTGACACCGTCAACACAACATCAAAAAACAATCACTAAATTTGTTCACATTAACTCACATTGTTTTTTACTCACGGAATTCTTGAATTAATAGTGAGTAAACTTTAGTGCATTCTGTGTGTATACAGAGTAAGTATTGCACGTATTCAAAACAACGTGAGTTCAGCAAATCAGAGTGAGCGTTGAGCAAGAATGGTCTTGAGGTAGTTAGCGGTGTTGCCGATGTCAAAAATAAATCGTCAAAAACAACGAATTTTAATAAGTTGGATGACCTATTTATTGAATTCAATAATTAAATTCCATTGTTAATCTGCAATTGAATGTGAGTTTAAAAGCAATTCAAGTACTCGTTTTCTAGTGCTTTACAATTTATCTATTTTATCTAACTTTATCTATTTCTCTAATCTGTCTTCACTTATATTTTACATAAATATGGCTTAGTACTTCTTAAAACTGGTGTAGCATTCGTTGCAGATCATCTTCATTCTCTGCTATCAGAACTGCGTCGTTGACGTAGCACATTATCTTTATTTCTTTGTTTCCCATTTAGTATATATTTTTTAACCCTCCCTCACTAGCACCGTTAGAAAAAAATCTAACATTTTTAAATATTTCGCCATAATTTTCGAAATATTGCTTCTTTTGGGTACTGCAACCAGGAATACTCTTATAAAGACTCGTATAAGACTATATTAAATAATGGTGGGAGTACCTATTATTTTATAGCCGACACTTGACAGCAGTTGATGTTAGTTCAAACCTAACACGAGAGCGATCGCATTCGTCGGAGCGTTAGAAAAAATCTAACTACGAGAGTGTTAGATTTTTAGAGAGATCACTTAAGAAAAGTTATAATATTATCATAAAAGGTAAGATTTTTAGTGAAATACCTATATATTGTTGAACATTCGTTATTATAAGCGCTATTTTGGTTTATTGCAGGTAAATATGGACAAGAAAATGGGGAACCAGTAACTAAAATAGTATGAAGAGATAGACAGCGATGTAGAACTACTAGATTCTTAAGTGGGTAGTAGATCCACAGTAATATTGTTTTACTTATTGCATCTTTTAGCTGTGTTTGGTTCATCCGTCTGTTTTTATAAAGTTCTCCATGGAAGTCTTCTACTATTGTTAAAAGCTCCTCTCTATTTGTTGTTATTTCGCCCTTTTTACTTTCTAATTTATTGATCTGATTTTTTCCATTATTTAGTTTTCTTCGCAGACTTTTTAGGCCTTTATTATTTTCTATGGTTTGTTCGATCTTTAGTGTATTGTAATTTCTTACGTCTTTTCTTATTGCTTTCTTGACTTCTCTGTTTATCTTTCTCTTTTGCTCCCCATTTGGATCATTTCTTTGTGTAATAAGATTTCTTTGTTTCATTAAATTCCTGGTGTCAGTACTAAGTTTTTCTTCATTGTTATTTCTGGGACAGTGTTCTCTCATGCTATCTTCAATGGCTTGCGTATATGTTGGTTTAGTGCCGGCCGGCCGGTGAGGACAAAATACTGGCGGAACTGCTAAAAGAAGGAGACACGATAAAAAAAATACAAAAAATACTCTTCAACAAATGTCTGTTTGAAGGTAAAATACCTAAACAATGGAGAAAATGCCAACACAATCTTAATACATAAGAAAGGAAACCAAACAGACCTAAACAACTACCGTCCTATTTCCCTTTGTCACAACTATATAAAACCTTCACAAGAATAATAAACAACCGACTAACCTATAAACTTGATAACTACCAACCAGTGGAACAGGCCGGATTCAGGAAAGGATACAGCACAATCGACCATCTACATGCGCTTAAAATCTTAATTGAGAAAAACCAATGAATACAACCTTCCGCTGTACTTAGCATTCGTAGATTATGAAAGGCTTTCGACAGCATTGAACACTGGGCGGTTGAAGAAGCTCTGGTCAATAGTAGAATAGATTCAAGATACCGACAATTGATACATGATATTTACCAAAACGCAACCATGACCGTAATTCTGGACGACAAATTAATAACGGATAATATAAAAGTTAAACGAGGCGTCCGACAAGGCGATATAATTTCACCTAAACTGTTTACCTTGACCCTCGAAGACATAATAAAATCAACAGATTGGGAAAACAGAGGAATATGTATTAACGGAAAATACCTAAATCACCTTACGATATGCGGATGATATACTCCTGATCTCCTCGGAACGACAAGAACTGGAATTAATGCTGAATGAACTTCATGAAAAATCACTGCAAAAAGGCCTAAAAATTAACTTCAACAAAACAAAAGTAATGACAAACACGGAAGACCAAGAGGCAATAAAATAAAAACAGAAAAAATAGAACAGGTAAATGAGTATATCTATCTAGGACAAGCAATCAGAGCTAATAGAGAAAATCAAACAGCCAAAATATCGAGACGAGTAAGAATGGGATGGGCAGCGTTCGGCAAACTTTCTTACGTTCTAAAAAATCAAACAATCCCTCTATACTTACGAAGCAAGGTATATAACTCCTGTATAATACCGGTGCTCACCTACGGAGCACAGACATGGACATTTACACAGGCCAATTTGGATAGGATAAGGAAGGCACAAAGAGCGATGGAGAGACAAATGTTGGGTGTATCACTTAGAGATAGAAAACGTAACCAGTGGATTAGAACCAGAACAAAGACAGTAGACGCGATAGAACAAGCAGCAAAACTGAAATGGAAATGGGCTGGACACAATGAACGTCTCCAAGACGGACGGTGGAACAATTCCATCGGAAAGTGGCGTCCATACAATGCAAAGAGATCAAGAGGCAGACCACAGATGGGGTGGAAAGATGACATCAGGAAACAAGGAGGTCCCACATGGCAGAGAACAGCTCAAGATAGGGAAAGATGGAGAGAACTGGGGGAGACCTATATCCAACAATGGAAGGATAGAGAATAGGTTAAAAAAAAATGTTTTCGTTGAGAGTTATGTCTATGTTGTTTCTCAGTTTGGTTTCGATGTCGTTTTGATATTCTTTAATATTTCTAGGTTGGGTCCATATTGGTATTGGTTTCGCATTTACTAATTTGCGTCTCTCTTGTTTTGTGCTTATTTTAACTTCTGCTCCTACCATTCTATGGTCGCTACCAGTGTTGAACACATTTAGGACCGTTACGTCTTGGACGATTTCTTTGTTTGTAATTATGAAGTCAATTTCGTTTTTTGTTTTATTATCTGGGCTTGCCCAGATCCATTTTCTATGTGGTTTCTTATAGAAAAAGCTATTTATTTGGACTAGATTATTCTGAAGGAGAAAACCAATTAAGGTCTCTCCTCTTTCTCTAGAAAGACTTATACGAACATAAACGGTCGAAATGTAACTACGGATAATTACTTTTCCGCTGTACTCTTAGGCCAACTCTTTATTAAACGTTCATTGCTTGCCAACGATAGGTATTTTGCGTAAAAACAAACAACAAATTCCCCCCTGAGTTGACAAACGTAAAAGGAAGATCTTTGTGTAGTAGCATGTTTGCATATGGTGACGATGGAAACAAGTGTGTAGTTGTATCATATGTGCAAAAAAATAAGAACGTACTACTACTTTCAACACTACACAGCAATGGTTTCGTTGATGAAAACAACAAAAAGCATACCATGAAGCCAGACATTATTACTGATTACAACCTCACAAAAAGTATAGTGGATGTTGTTGATAAAATGAAGGCAGAATACTCGGTGACTCGATTTAACAATCGCTGGCCGTTTACTGTTTTTTGCAGTCTACTAAATATTTCAGCTATAAACAGCCGAATAATTTACAACAATAACACTAATATTGGAACATTTCGAAGAAGCTACATTGCGGAGCTTGGTAAGCAACTTTTAATGTCTCATCTTCAACGACGTTCCAATATCCCAAATCTGCCTTTTCAGTTGAGACTCAGCAAGTAAAGAGCACACTGGCTTAACAAATTTTACTTGCCACTAATGCCTAAAAGAGGAAGAAATCTAATTTTATGCGTAAGGCGTACATTTTTTTTTTTGAATAAATCCCCTTATTTGTTTTATTCTAGGGTAATGTGTAAATTTTTTAGTTTACATAGTAGTTTTTTTTGCAGTTTTGTTTAAAAAAAAATATAAGTTTATTGTTTTTTGTGAGTTAATACCCAATAAACTTAACCAATACTAATGACTCATTTATTTGACCTATATGTTAGATAAAATCTAACACGCGAGTTTTTACAAAAACATTCTCAGAAAAATTAAGCTTGATCGTATGATTTGTAGAGGTTCAGTGGCATTTTCGTTTTAGCCAACTGGGGTATAAAACAAAAACCAAACGTCACTGGCGATTGGTAATGCGTTTTTAGATGGCTCTATTCGAGTTACACGGGATTAAAAATTCAAATTTGGTCGTTTTTTCACAGATCCGTCCTTAATATTTAATAAAAAAATGTTTTGAAAGATATGCAAACATGCATACCATAGATTGACTTTTCTATTTATATAATTGATGGATTCGACCGTTACTTGATGAAAATTCATTTTATGTAATAATAAAACACTGAAAACTTTGTTTTCAAACTTCCACAAAATTTATTTTAACTATTATCACTACAGCTGTTTCGGCTGATTGCCTTTCTCACTTGAGAAAGGCAATCAAAATCAAAATAAAAAAGGAAGGAAGGAAAATAAAAATAAATTTTGTGGAATTTTGAAAACGAAGTTTTCAGTGTTTTATTATTACATTTTCTATTTATCTTAATTAAAATGCATCACATTCACTTGAATCCTTTGATCAAATATTTTATGTTTATTTTAAATATAGTGGTGATCGTAATATTTCCTTTTCATTCAATTATTCTTTTAAAATCTGACAACATGGCAAGTACCTTACATTATTTAGAAAACAGTAGTTGCAACCCATCTACAGAATTGTTTACCGTAAGAACCCATT